CTGCGCCTGCGCTCTTCACACGCCTCCTGCAGGGCACATTTGGTAAAGTTCGTGCATGCAGGCTGCCGCCAAGCAGAGGAAGTAGCACAGCTAAGGAAAAGGGTAAAAAAAAAAATGGCGGACGGTGTTGTTTGGCGACCCCCGTGAAATGGTCGTGCGACCCCAAATGGGGTCGCGACCCACAGGTTGAGAACCGCTGTGCTAGAGGGTCCCAGTTCTTAAAGAGCCAACATCTAATCCAGTCTTTCCAATAGATGCTTCTAGCAAGCATCTAAGCATCTTTTGGCTCCTGAATATTGGACAAGCCCTGAATCAAAACAAACCAATGTAACAGATTTGCATTAAAAAAAAAAAAAAAGCAGATGGGAAGCGTTAGTTTGCAAAATTCCACACAAGCCATTATTGTAGCAATAATGCTAAAATCTCTTCAAAGTTTTGCACAGCCCTCCTTTTAAAGACTAGAAGAGTGTGGTATTAAAGCATACAAAGATGCTCCTGTCGTCTGTATGTAATACAGGTAGGCTTCGACCTACAGCCACAATTGAGTGCAAAATTTCTGTTGTTATCTGAGACATTTGTGAGCTTTGCCCCATTTTATGACCTTTCTTGCCTCAGTTGTTAAGTGAGTCTGGCTTCCCCGTTGACTTTGCTTGTTCAGAAGGTCGCAAAAGGGGATTACGTGATCTTGGGACACTGCAACAATCATAAATAGGAACCAGTTGCCAAGCATCTGAATTTTGATCCCATGATCGTGGGAATGCTGCAAAGGTTGGAATTGAAAAACGGTCATAAATCACTTTTTAAATTGCCATTGTAACTTTGAATGGTCACTAAACAAACTGTTGTAAGTCAAGGACTACCTGTACATTTAGTTAATCATGCCTCCTATATATGCGTATGGATCAGTACATTAAAGATTTGCATGGAACAACTAGACACAAGGACAGTGTTTTCCCCTGTGCCATCATTCTGCTAAACAACTAATTCTTACAACACTGTCAAACTACTTAGTAAGGCTGTATTACTATTATTCTCCTCATCTTTCCTATCTCCTTATCTTCTTATGACTATAACTTTGTTGCTTGTATTTTACAATTCATATTGTCTTTTTAGTATCCTAGTATGAATTACGTTGTTTGCTTATTTAGTATCCTACGACTATCACTAAGTGTTGTATCTTTTGGTTTATGACGAATGCATTTTTATGTTGATTATGATCATGATATATCACTGTTGCTTGTATGTACACTGAGAGCTTATGCACCAGAGACAGATTCCTTGGGTGTCCAACCACATGGCCAGTAAAATAAAGAATTCTAATACTTTGTACAATGCTAAACTAGAATATAGTTTGCTTGGATGAGAGTTTGGCATTTATGTGAATTCATCTACTTCAGTTTGTAACCAGTAGTGTGCTTGTGTGAATTCAGTCAATTGTGGCTCTTAATAACCTTTGTTTATTAACATGTGTGTGGGGTTTATATATTTAATAACTTTGTTGCATAATTTCCATATTTAATTGGAAGAATAATATGGACATTTTCTATATTTAAAAGGTTAACCCTGTTCACCCAGTATTACATATTAACAATTATATTCTTTTTTTAACATTTACAGAATTGTTAAAAACATTTACGCCACTGGTAGAAAGGCTCGGATTTGATGAAAATTTTGTGGACATCACGGAATTAGTAGAAAAGAGACTGATAGAGTGGAAAAAAGCAACACTTCCTAAAATCTCTGTTTCTGGTCATGTATATAATAATCAGAGTAAGTCCTTTTTGTTTTTAACCATGTCATATTTGCACTCCAGAACCCATAATAATGCTATGTTGACAACACAAAGGACATCTGTACCACAGAATGACATTCAAGCTTGACATACAAATATACAGGTAGTCCTTGACTTACAACTCTAGTCCCTAAAGTGATCCAAAAGTGAACTTCATAGAAGTTGTAAGGGACCTTGGTGGTCATCTAGTCCAACTCCCTGCTCGAGCAGGAGAATCTATGCCATTCAGACAAATGGCTGTCCAGTCTCTTCTTGAAATCCTCCAGTGATGGGGCACTCACAACTTCTGAAGGCCCAGAAGTAACATAGAATGGTTGTTACTTCACTTAGGAGAAACTTTCCTTAACTTTCCTTAAGGCTCCGTATCATAAATAAATAAAAGGGAAAATGTTAGCCCTGCTTTTAACAGCCCTGGAAAACAATACCTATCCATTTCTATTTCATAATGCATTTGGATAGCCCTTGATTAGCACAGGTAGTCCTTGACCTACGACCACAATTGAGCCCAAAATGTATGTTGCTAAGTGAGAAATGTGCTAAGTGAGTTTTGCCCCATTTTACAACTTTTCTTGCCACATTTGTTAAGTGAATCACTGCAGTTGTTAAGTTAGCAGCATGGTTGTTAAGTAAATGTGGCTTTGCTTGTCAGAAGGTCACAAAAGGGGATCACATGACTTTGGGACACGGCAACGGTCATAAGTATGAAACGGTTGCCAACCATATGAATGTAAATCACACTACGATGGGGATGCTGCGACGGTCATAAGTGTAAAAAATGGTCTTAAATCACTTTTTTCAGTGTCGTTGTAACTTTGAACAGTCACTAAATGAACTGTTGTAAGTCAAGGACTACCTGTATTTGTAAGCATGCCACTTGTATTGTCCATTTCCCATAGTTGGTATCCTGGCAAAGCAAAAGGTTTTTCTTTAACAGGCAGTTTCTTGGGGGGGGGGCTCCATAAGAAGGATAAATCTGTCAGGTGATCTCTTGAGAATTTATTTTTTTTTGTCTCTTTCCTTCACAGCTGTTGATTTTCAGGATCCAGTGCACGTAAGTCTCGCTGTGGGATCTCAGATTGCAGAGGAGATGAGAGATGCCATGTGCAGCAGGCTAGGGCTCACGGGCTGTGCAGGGGTGGCCACAAATAAGGTCCTCTCCAAGCTGGTCTCTGGGACCTTTAAACCAAATCAGCAGACAGTTCTTTTGCCTGAGAACCGGCCGAACCTGATGGCCAGCCTGGATCACGTAAGGAAAATACCAGGTAAGTTGATTTTGAGGATTTTTTTTTTGCAATTTTAATTTTTATTTAACATATATAAAATACAAAGAAAAATAGAAACAGGAAATTAAGGGACGGAAAAGGAGAGGGGAAGAGAAGGTGTGAGGTACAAGGGAAAAAGAAAAAAGTGCTTTAGCACAATGCAAGATAAAAACATTCCAGCCTCAACTTTTTGTTTTTACACATTAATATATAGCTAGCCATTTCTATAATAAATCTATCTAATTGACAAAACCAAAGTCAAAGTTTCATTTTTTTTCCATCACAAGCACAAAATCCAGAAGTGTTATCCAAATGAAAAACATACTCAAATATATTCTCCTCTTTGAATAGAATGATCAGTTTAACTATCCCAGTTTTATCTTCCTTTCTGTGGGAATAGTATGTCTTTCCATTTGCATCTAATAACTTTTGTACACTATCACATTGCTTTGCCTCCTTCTGCAATTCTTAGAGCCAGTCTTTTAGAAGTATTTGCACAGATACCTCTTTTGATTTTTGCAGGAGTAAAAGACCATCAACCACCTGCAAGATAGTGCAAAACTTTTAGCCCGAGCAATTAAACCTGCCTTGCCCAGATCTAATATTGAAAAGGAAATATCAACAAGGTGTTTGGGAGAAAAGGGCTTGTCTTGGGCCCTTTGGACTCCAACGGCCACCAGTTAGCCTGTATCTCCCCTCCAGTGTAGCCTCTTAATACCCCTTTGCTATAAGGAAAGAAACAATAAGAAATGGAAAGGGAGGTATTTCCATTTCCTTTCTCAGTAGGTGACCTCATCAAGTCTCAGTCGTAAGCAAGGTCAGCTCTCCTTAATGCTTGGATGGGAGATTTTTCAGGAAATTCCAGGGCTGTAGACTTGACTGGGAGCTTGAGCCGATCTCATAAAAAAAGCAGTAACTTCTTAAGAGTATGCATCACTTCTGCAGAGTTGCCAGGAAAGCTATATCACAATGTCCATGAAGTTACTAGGCATTAGCAAGACTTTAATGTGGTCTTCTGTAGCTGTGAGTTGATTGCTTTCCTACACATTTTCCAGCTCAAGTCCATTCTGCTGCCTCACTAGGAGACTTGGATTCCTTGGCATATAGCAAATTATCTTTCTTGTGCAGGGATTGGCTTTAAAATGTCAAAGCGCCTCCTAAATCTTGGGCTCTGCACTGTGCAAGATCTCCAAGCCTGTTCAGTTGAGATTCTGGAAAAAGAACTGGGAATTCCAGCTGCACATCTCATCCAGAAGCTCAGCTGGGGAGAAGACCATTCTCCGGTCGTCCCATCAGGAGCTCCTCAGGTAGAACTGAAAACGGTATCTAAAGACAAGAATTGCCCTACCCCTCATGTCTGAGAATTCTAGGCAAACTGGAGTTTCCCAGATGTGAAGACTACAGCTTCTTGATTTCTCACTCAGACTTCAGAGAACAGGTGGTTCCAATGCATCTGGAGAACTATCTTGAGAAATTTTGTCCCATATAATTGAATGAACAATTGCATTCCTCAGGAAGATCCTACATGCCCACATATTGGACTAAACAATTGTGGTTTGCTTAGTTTGGGTTGAGTGGTTGCATAAGCAAAACTATTGTGGTTTATAAGCCATAGTTTGTGGCAATGCAGGAGGATATACATATTTTTAAAATTTGAAAGTTCCATTGATCTAGGAGCTAGTATACTGGGAAGGCAGCTATGGTTTATTCAACAAACTATAATTAGACCACAGCTTAGCATCATAAAACAGGTAATTTTTTTGAAATACATAGATGCTTCCCCTACATCATCTTGCTATAACTATCTTATCTGTATTTCAATAAGAACAGAGGATTAATCAGAAAAAAAATATGTTTGATGAATCCAATTCACTGTTTGAAATACTGAAATATAATTTTAATGGCACGATACTCTGAATTCTTGAAAAGGGAATTTTTGGGGCAGAAAAATCAACTGAATTTACAAATACATGAATGTCTGCTTTTTATTTGACTTGTGCATTTACTGATCTAAATTATATTCATTGTTTTATTTTTAACTATACTACAGTCTCTCAGTGATGAGGACTCCTTTAAAAAATGCTCTTCTGAAGCAGAAGTTAAGAAGAAAATTGAAGAATTGCTCACTAACCTTCTAGACAGGTGATTTTAACTTAAATAGTTCCACAATATTTGGGGTCTGAGCAAGATTTTGAAACTGGGGGCTGCATTGTGTATGTGTGAATATATAAAGTGTGTGGAACAGTGGCACAATGAGATCACATGTAAATGTCCAGTCCTTTTTTTAGTTATTTGCATACTAAACACTTCAGATTTACACACTTTCCTTACCAGTGGTTCCTTCTGTGGGATAGTAGTCCTTGACCTCATTTGGCCTGGCAGGAACATGCGAAAGGATCACCTGCAAATCCTCAAAACAATGTAAACATCTGTTTTGGGGGGGTCTTCATATTTCTTGAGCTACAGCACAGACCAAAATGGCAGGGAATTATAGCCCAGCATGAAGCCAGAATTAAGCAATAGCAATAGCACTTAGACTTATATATCTCTTCACAGTGCTTTACAGCCCTCTCCAAGCAGTTTACAGAGTCAGCCTATTGCCCCCAACAATCTGGGTCCTCGTTTTACCAAACATGGAAGAATGGAAGGCTGAGTCAACCTTGAGCTGGTCAGATCAAAGGAATCTTGACTCCTGGCAACGTGAGCAGAAGTAGTCTGCAATACTACATTCTAACCACTGTGCCATCGCGGCTCATTTACCACTTCTCAATTTACGATCCTCCTTACTGCTCTCTTTGTTCTACAAATTGCTCATTTAAGAGATTATGCTTGTTGGTGAATTGCCAATTTGCATAAATGCTTGACATAGATTAGCTTTCTAGGTAATACGTCTCTGTTGAGCCAGGCCAGACTGAAATGTAGAAATGGTGGACACGTTGGTTGTTGATGGCTCCATGTTTTCAACAGGTTGTACAAAGATGGCAGAAAGCCCCATACCATCAGATTAACCATCCGTCAGTATTCTGCTACCAATAAATGGTTTAATCGAGAGAGCCGTCAATGTCCAGTTCCATCTCACTTGATCAAGAGGATCAGTTCAGGTAATTGTGCTTCATGGGGCTTAATTTCTTCCTATGACTTGATGTCCTAGAGAATTCATGAATATATTGGTTTTTCCCCCCACTATCTTTCTTATTCACATTACATTCAGCACTGGACTAAGTATATCAATTTTTCTAACTGGCCCCCTCCAAATTTCTTAGGATTGCAACTCCCAACTTTGCTAAGACCCCAATGTCTTGGAATTCTGGGAGTTGTGATTCCATCATATCTAATGGGTTGTAGATTGCCCATTGAACAAGTCTCCATTTGAAGCAGATCTCCATGTTACTCATGTGTGCATCTCCCCAGATAATCAGCTGGAGCTCAAAGACAAGAGTGAGATACTGCTTTGGGAAGTCCATTCCCTTATTTTATGAAGCCTTGTCCCAAATCCTCATTGTTGTCCTGGCCCTATCAGCCTCTTTCCTCTCAAGTTCACTGTCTCTTTGTATGTGAACATCCTTCAAGGTCTTCTCCATCTTTTTAATCCCAGCCCACCTGAACGCTTTCCTTCACAGAAACTAGATCAGCCTGCTTGCTTTTTAGGGAATGTCATTTCTTAAGCTCCTTAAGCTTGGAGAACAAGAATTCAGTTTGTCAAGTGCCAGCAAGTTCCCAGTCATTTTGAGCTTGGAAATAATTACTACTCAAAGGCATTTCTTGTTAGTTACCCTCTTCCCAGGGCTATTCTTACAGGTTGGAATTCTTTGCTGATTTCACAGTGTTGATATTTCAGCTATTTCTTGCTTTTTAATGTCACCAGTGAGGGTCTTTGGTGGTCTCTGAGCCTGGTTGGTCTCTTAAGCTTACAGACATTTCATTACCAAACTAGGTAACATAATCAGTGCACTAGCAAGAAAACAACCAAGTTCAAAGGGCACTCATTTAAACCCTGAGCTACAAATATTCTTTATTGGTAATTTCATCAATGCCTTTAAAAAAACACCAATTTCTGCATTTCTCCATTCCTTTGTTATCTAGAATTGGATTTTTTTTTCTTCTTGAGTAAGAGTCTGCTTACATGATTTTCCCTCCATAATTTATTTCCAGGTGACACCAGTGTAAAGGCTCACCTCATTTCCATTCTTATGAAACTGTTTCGAAAGATGATCAATGTTGAGGTTCCATTTCATCTGACCTTACTGAACATCTGCTTTTCCAATCTTAAGGATCCACCAGCTTCTTCCAAGGAGTCTATTCAGTTTTATTTGAGTCAGTCATCACCTTGTTTCAACTCCAATGTAAGTTCTACACTTTTAATATACATAGAGTCCTTGACTTCCAACCCTTCATTTAGCAACCTTTCAATGTTACAACACTGAAAATAGTGATTTACGACAGGTCCTCAAACTTATGACTATTGCAGCATCCCCCTCAGATATTGAGCACTTGGCAACCAGCATGTATTTATGGCAGTTCTCAGTCAGCTTCTGATAAGCAAAATCAGTGAGGAAACCAGATTTGCTTAACAGCTGTGTGATTCCCTGAACAACTACAGTCTTTTGCTTAACTATCATGGCAAAAGAGGTAATAAAATCAGGTGTGATTCATTTAACAGCCACCTTGCTTAGTAATAGAAATTCTGGTCTCAGTTGTGACTGTAACTCAAAGGTTACTGTAGATATTACAGAGCCTACCCTCTGTGGAATGAGGTTCCCCCGAGAACAAAATGGCCTCCATCTTGCTGGTGTGGCAGAGGGCCCTGAAGAGCTGGCTCTTCACCCAGATTGGAGCTTCTTCTGGGTAGTTCTGCTGTTTGTGTTGCCCAGTTCTTGCCATCTTTTGTTCCTCATTTTTACTACAGGTAATCATTGACTTATGTCCACAATTGAGCCCAAAGTTTATGTTGCTAAGTTGTTAAGTAAAATTTGCCCCATTTTATGACCTTCGTTGCCACAGTTATTAAATGAATCACCGCAGTTGTTAAGTTAGCAACATAGATGTTAAGTGAATCTGGCTTCTCCATTGACTTTGTTTGCCAGAAGGTCGCAAAAGGTGATCCATTACGGTGACAGCTATCATGACAGCTCATTATATAATAACTGGATAAACTGTATTAAAAATGTCTGATTATTAGGCTTGTTTGTCTATCTGTCTCCACCCAGAATTAACTCAGGTGGATGGATAGGTTTGCTCCTAGTCCATGACATTTTTACAGATGTCCATATCTGTTCCTTCTCACTTTTGGATTAATGTGCATTAAAAATACAAGAGTATTTGAATACATATATTTAAACATACAGATACTATATGAGGGGTCTACAATTTATCAGGCATATCATATGATTGTAGAACAATGGTTCTTTTTTGTAAGAATTCTCATTTGCTATGTAGACAACAGAAGACAGAAACTCAGAAAACACAAAGATGGAGCATCAAGGGGAAAACAGTGATGTTTTATCCAGAGAGAGAAACACAAGATGTGTACAATCTCAGCTGCACGGCCCTTGTCAGCCAACTGCAAGTGATCTTGAATGCCCAAGTCCACTACTTCCTGCTGGAATAGATTACGATGTGTTCAACCAGCTTCCAAGTGACATTAAGGAGGAAATAATTTCTAGCCAAAAGAAGGTTAGAGATTCCACAGAGACTTTGTGGAGCCATGGAGGATCTGAACTGGGGGGGAAATCACCATGCCATCCAAAAGCCAAAATAAGCTCCATTTCCCTGCATTCTGGAGACCTTTGTCAAAGTACTAGGACTCTGGCATTTTCTGATATTGCACCCACAAAGGAAGAACTAGAAAGGCAAAGCCCCCATGGAGAAGGCTCTTCCCCAAATAATTCAAGACAAGGATCACAAGTGGCCCTTCCTCCTTCTGTAGATCCCAAAACATTTTCTGAGCTGCCTGCAGAGATGCAGAAGGAGCTGTTGACAGAATGGAAGAGCCAAAAGTGTGTTTCTAAAATGCACGTCAGCAAAGTTGTGACACTTAAAGGAACAAAGAAAGGGCAGGTGTCATCTCCAGGATCAAATAGTTTACTACACTATTTCAAGCCAAGATGACTCCAAGGTATATTTGGTCTAGAGCAGGGGTAGTCAACCTTGGCTCTTTTATGATTCGTGAACTTCAACTCCCAGAATTCCTGAGCCAGCCATGCTGAGGGGAAAGAGAGAGGTTTCCAAGCTGAGCCATGCTGGCTCAGGAATTCTGGGAGTTGAAGTCCACGAGTCATAAAAGAACCAAGGTTGACTACCCCTGGTCTAGAGACTATGCTTGCAGATGCAAGAGCCTTCCTTCAGACAAAGGTGTCTTAAGGTGATACTGTTTAAAAAAATGGGGGAAATTTCTTTTTAATGCATCTGTATAACCTGCTGTCCAGATATTATATTTTCAAAGAATACCTATCCAGTTTGGGTGGGAATTTTGAGAACTGTCACTCCAAATATATTGAAAATGTTATCAGGTTGGGAAAGCAAAGTTCATATGTGCACATATTTGCAAACGAAACATACCTCCCATACAATTTTGATACTTATGTTCCTGAGCATGAAAATGGTTTATCACCTAAAATAAATGTCCCTTAAAATTTGAAGAATGGGTAGAGGCAAGGGAAAAGATGTTGAAATACAAAGCAGTCACAGTAATTTTTCTCCATTTCTTAGTCATAGATGCTAGAGGCTAGGCGCTAGGGCAGGGGTAGGCAACCTTGGCTCTTTTATGACTCGTGGACTTCAACTCCCAGAATTCCTGAGCCAGCCTACCCCTGCGCTAGGGCATTATCCTGGTCTACTTTGATTTGTGTAGACTTCTAACTCCTAGCATTCTTAGCAATGGCCATACTGGATTGAGAATTCTGGGAGTTGGAAGTCCAGACACCTTAAAGTTGCCCAGGTTGAGAAATACTGCTACAGGGTTACATATTCTTGCCAATGGAAGAACAAGCAGAATGAGACCATAGACTTGAAAATACATGTAATCCTCCAGATTACAGAGAGATGACATTTAGCAAAGCTTTTTTTTTTTTGTTCCACCTCCCAATTTTTTTGTGCCACTTCTAGAAACATTTTAGAAAGCAAATGTCAGGCTGAGAAGCCGGTTAAAAGTATTTGGGGGGGGGGGGGGAACCATAGAAGTGGCAGTTAGGTCAGTCTTCAGAAAGTCTAGATAATATTCTCCATGGTTTGGTTGATCAGTAAATCTGCTTCTAGCTGCATTTCAGGACCAGCAGCCAGGAAAGAACACAGTGGCTAGAAATATGAAATATGAATGGTGGACACAAGCAAATTAGAGAGAATCTAGCGAAGATTAAGAAAAGGGGAAGAAGAGACCTTTCCCACTGCCAATACTAAGCTCTTGATCACTTCCCCAGGTTAAAACACAGCCTTAGACATGGAAAATGGTTCCATGTTTCTCACATAAGTGAGAATTTGAATTAAGGAAGGCATTTGGTTTTGGGTTTTTTTTGTTCTGGGCACTCAGAAGAGTAGAATCGTGCAGCAAATCTGTTTCCTTTCTGTTCTAATGTAGAGTAAGCTTATAAGATCCTCACCTTCAATTTATGCTCATTAGGTAACCTTGAATCAAGGAGAAATTTTAGTCGCATCTACTACTATTTGTGATTTTTGGCTACCTGAAAAGCCAGAGTGGGTGGAGAGTGTCTTATCTGAATGCTGTCGGCCCTGAATTTGGATGTCATCATAAGTGGTCCTCAACTTATGGCCATGGTTAAGCCCACAATTTCAGTTGTAAGACGTGATGCTTGTTAAGCGTGGCCATGCCCAATTTTACAACCTTTTCTGCAACTGTCATTATGTGAACACAGCAGTTGTAAAGCGAACACTGTGGTCATAAAGCGAATCCATTGTTTACTCTATTTTGCCAGAAACCAGAAGTAAATGCCTGATTAGCTTAACGACCACGGGGTTCACACACCGTCGCAAGAAAGGTTGCAAAATCAGTCAGGGTCACATGGGGACTACTTAACCCTAAGTTCAACTTCAATTACAGTCATAAATCAAGGACTACTTGTAGTGCCTTTAGTCCAGTGTTTCTCAACCTTGACAATTTTAAGGCATGTGGACTTCAACTCCCAGAATTCCACAGCCAGCAATGCTGGCTGTGGAATTCTGGGAGTTGAAGTCCACATGCCTTAAAATTGTCAAGGTTGAGAAACACTGCTTTAGTCCTTTATATCAGGAATTGGCCATCTGAAATTGGCTGAAATGCCCATCCTTTTTTGTTGGCCTCTGAAGCCTCTTCTGACCACAACTGCTGAAAACCAGCTGAATGACTCCCTGCTATGTTGAGATTGGAAAACTACAAACTGACAATATTCTTTTCCCCAAATTAACAATATCCTTTTCTCCAAAGATGGAAGGAAGGGGATGGGAAGGGAAAACAAAAAACAAAAAACAAAATCCCTGTCCCCAAATGTTGAGTGAAGTTCTCAACCCCAAGAAGCTCGCCTATCTCTTCTTGACATTAGACCAAACGTGGGCCTGCTGTGTATTGAAGAAAAGCTTTTTTGTACCCTCTGGCAAGGATTTTATGTCTCCGTTTCTCTTAACATCTTAAATCCAGCCTTGCAATCGGTCACAAAGTTTATGAGGCTCATGGGCATAACGGAATCGATCACCGAAGGCAGTAGAAAGCCTCCCAAATCCACCTGGACGATAATCTGAAGTTTGGTGTGCTCTGGGTTCCTGAAAGAGAAGAATGGGGTTTTATCAATAAGCGTTCTGAGGAGCTTCCCTCCCCATCTTCTTTGAATCCAGTGTGACCGTAATCAATTGATGGATTTCAACCTCTGCCAAGTACAGGAATCAGTTTGGCCTTCTCCTGCTTCTCTTCCCCAGAAGGTGATCGGTAGATTCTGCTGGTTCCCTCCCTCCAAACTTCTCCGTCAGACCCATCTCATCACAGTTTAAGCTTGGCTTGCAGCACTCAAATAAACTTTGGGTTTGCAAGTCTCTGCTTTCTCCCGGAAGCTCTTTAAAGATGAGTGTAGAAAGAGTTATACATGCACACATTCAGGTAGTAATATCAAGTCATCATTTGGCACTTCTGTAAAATCAACAGAGTCAGGTCCATTTAGAGTGCTTCCAGCTTTCAGGTTAAATGTTTTTTCCAGAAATAAAACCACCTGCAATTAAGCAGCTCAAAATCCTTACTCTGGTAGTGGAAGACAGGCATAGCCGGAAGAGAAAGTAGTGCCCCGAATATAAGCTGGAGTTGCAGGTAAATCGGGATAAGCCACACTGATAGCTATAAAAGGGAACAAAGCAAATGTTGATCGCTGTTTAATCAGATTTTATTAAACCACAAACCATGCAGTTTATTGAAGTAGAAGGAAAAGGTGTTTATGTATCCATACATGGGAGTTTTGGTAGCTTTTTTTGGCAGCCTGACACCATCAAGAAGTGTAGAACCTTTCTAAGTAAGCTTGGTAAGAAAATGAATATTTTTAGCCATCACAACACACCTGACCAGAATGGGACAACTTGCCATGGCCAACTTGCTATAGAACAATTCAACTATATTCAATCTAATTATTTTAAATAATTATTTTAAACTAGCTGTACCCGGCCACGCGTTGCTGTGGCTCAGACAGGTTAAATGTGTTTACCTGTCACAGGTGTGACACCTATATAATAGTAGGTATATAAAAACACGCGCGTATTCGAATGCAATGTTGTGTCAAAATTTCAAAGCGGTGAACGTTCGGAGATTTAAGATTTTGAACAAACGAACATTTACATTTTTATTTATGTAGATTTTATCTTTTGTCATTCACATTTTATTTTGTCCCTTCTTTGGCATCCTTTCTTAAATGTTTCTATTAGACTATTTCTTCAATATTAGTGTAACTTTTGTGCCATGGCGAGTTGGCAGTAGCGAGTTATTGTAGACCCCACCTGACAGTCCCTCTGATAAACTCTGACATAAAAGATAGGGTGATGACATGGTCTGCATCAGGGGTGCCCAACCTTGGCAACTTTCAGACTTGGCTGGCTGGGGAATTCTGGAAGTTGAAGTCCGCAAGTCTTAAAAGTTGCCAAAAGTTGGACACCCCTGGTCTGTGGTAGAGGAAACCTTATACCCCATGAGTCCTCAGAAACTACTTTCTGAATAAATGGATGTTTAATTTTACCCCCACAGTCTGACGACCGGGTGCCCGGCCTACGGAGTACGACTTTGACGCGAGTAAGGTCGAGGCCGTTACCCTTTTTTCAACACTATGCAGTGTACTGTACCACTCAAACTGTGGCGACTTAATTTTCCACTTTAACTGAAGAATTTCTTAAATGGTAAGTCTTGTCACAAAGAGTCGGAATCGACAAGTTTAAGATGTGTGGATTTTAACTTCCAGAATTCTAGTTGGGGAATTCTGGGAATTGAAGTCCATATATTTTCAAGTTGCTAAGGTTGAGAAACACTACTTTAGAATCTTGAAACACTGGGGAAGTGGAGCTGTTCCATAAGACTTAGGGTACCCAGTTTATCACTTAAAGCACCATCAATCTCACCAAAGTAATAAAAAACAGCAAAATTGAGGGACTTGCCACTCAAATCACTATCAACTGCAGTCCACTGGCAAGAAATAGAGATATAAGTTTGAAGGGACATTGTTTTACTGGGACAAAGGAATTAAGAGTTGTTTTCGGGTACAAAGAATCGGGGCCATACCTTTAAGTTGCAGTCAAAAAGATCTATTGCTCAAGCCTATACACAAGAATCTAGTCAACTACTGTTCAATGCTAAACTGGCAGTAGATAAGGGTCAACAGAATTCAAGAGGGGATGGACTTCGACCATTTGTGGGAACGTAACAACTCTAGGCTGATGACTCACTTAACTCTGTCCCCCAATTCTGCCTGTTCTTCTCCTATAGTTGTTAAACTAATTGCATAGATCTTTTCTTTCCTGAATATTTGTACCTGCACACACATTTATCACTTAAATACTGTAATTTTTATCTTCTCCTAGTAAACAATTACTTACAGTTTGTTGTCATTAAATTTCCATCATAGGTTTTTACGTGCAGCATGTAGACAAAATCTCTTGGCGAAACCATTCCAAAGCCGTAACTGTGGGTAATACTGCGATAAATGAAAGTGTCCTATGATTTAATTAAAACAAATGTCCACAAATGAAAATCCTGCCTAGCAAATTAAAACAGGTAGGCTGTCAGCTTAGGGAAAAAAGTATAAATAAAACTATCCAATTTTTTTAGCCTGAGATATTTTTATTGCCCATCAGTGGACCTTACTTAAAAACTAGGCTTGTAAAGCCATTTTTATGTATGATCTACCAGGGAGTGACTTAAACACTATTCACTGTAATTCTTCACTGAATAAACTAAGGCACTACATATAATTGACAGAGAACAAATATTCTTTATGTGCCTATAAAGAATATGACCTGCTATAAATTTACACTTTACATTTCTACATCCTGTTTGTCACTAATCAGCAAATTTGTTATGCAGAAGACAAATACTGTTTAATGATGCCAAACATTAGATGGCCCTAAAGTAGAATAGCTGAGTGCCAGAACTTTGTTTTTAGATATGGTTGGTTCTTTTAGCAAAGGTTTCCATGATTCGTTGAAAAAACTTTTCTTGTATTTTTAGAAACAATTCTATCTTTGGACCAAACCCATTAGCTATGTGCACACATGTCTAACTTGATTATTGAATTAATCCATATTTACATGTGTATTTACATAAAACACTAAAGTATAAAGTAACAAATCGGCTAGGTTTCCTAACAGTGAGAACAATTAACCAGTGAAATAGCTTGCCTACATAAGTTGCGGGCGCTTCATCATTGAAGACTTTTAAGAAGAGACTGGACAGCCATTTGGCTGAAATTGTATAGAGCAGGGGTCTTCAAACTTGGCCCTTTTATGACTTGTGGACTTCAACTCCCAGAATTCCTCAGCCAGGCAAGCTGGCTGAGGAATTCTGGGAGTTGAAGTCCACAAGTCATAAAAGGGCCAAGTTTGAAGACCTCTGATATAGAGTCTTCTGCATGAACAGGTGGTTGGACTAGAAGACCTCCAAGGTCTTTTCCAATTTTTATTCTGTATTCTGTCACTCATTATACCAATATTTTTAAATATTGGCAAATTTAAAATGTATGAACTTCAACTCTCAGAATTCCCCAACTAATATGCTGGCTGGGAAATTCTGGAAGTTGGAAGTCCACACATCTTAAATTGCCAGGGTTGGAAAACACTGCACCATACTCCCCAAATGGAGAAGGAGCAGGATCATAGTGGTAGGTCTATGCAGATACTAGATTTAAACAGACTCTGCATATTGTGCAAACCTAGGCAAATTGTGTTTTTTCATGTAACATGATGATTTTAATGAAACAGCCATCCAATTACACACTCGACAGAGATTTTCCAAGTGGTAGTGACCGGATCTCACTTGGAAAAGGATCAAAAGGTCTGTTATTTCCTATAGAAAATACTGAACACCTGAAGTTGAGGGTCTTAAGGACTCGGTCGGTATGACCAAGTCCTTAAGACCCTCAACTTCAAGTGTCAACTTCAGACACGTTCTTGTTATTCGTGACATCCTATTTCACCACCCTCAGGAATTTTGGGAGTTGAAGTTCACAAGCCATAAAAGGGCCAGAGTTCCCCACCCCGATCTATATCCTCAAATAACACCCCAGTCAAAGTCTGCTAATTGGTGTGTTATGTTCTCCTAGAAACAGCTATTCTATGAAAAAGACATACAACTAAATTGCAGCATGCAGCCTTATCTCACTGAATCACCTGGTCAATTGTTTCTACAAGTTTATACGACTGCAACGATTTGTCCCATTTGCTGCGATACTCAGGCAGGTAAACAAAGGGGAATAATTTGTCAGAGGGTATCTCCAGAGACACTTCAGTCCGGTATCTGGAAACAAATATTTCAGTGTTAATTGAACCGGTGAGGATTGCAATGCATCTATGAAGAAAGATCTTTCTAAATATATTATAGGGATAAATTGTAGTGGGGAAGAAAATGTTTGGGGGATTTTGTATACTCCTTCTGTTAGAGTGAGGGTTGCTAAGAATTGGGAGGCATATGCACTTGATAAATAAATGTATTATTTTGTGGTTGATTGCACAGCCAGCCAGATGCTTTAAACCAGCGATCCCCAACCTTTTCGGCTTTGGGGACCCCAGGTGGGGGAGGAAGAGGGAATGGTTACACAAAAGTAGTGGGTGAGCGAGTGCATGCAGCTCCATTTGCGCGAGCGGCAGGCCCACAAGTCCGTCACTCACACAAACGGAGCTTTGCACACGCGTTCACCCACTGCTCTTGTGAGTACAGGTAGTCCTCGAGTTATAACCACAACTGAGCCCAAAATCTATGTTGCCAAGTGTAACATTTGTTAAGTGAGTTTGCCCCACTTTACGATTTTTCTTGCCACAGTTGTTAAGTGAATCATTGCATGTGTTAAGTTGGCAATCAGGTTGTTAAGTGAATCTGGATTCCCCATTGACTTTGCTTGGAAAAGGTGATCACATGACCCCGGGACACTGCAGCCATCGTAAATAGGAACCACCTGCCAAGCACCTGAATTTTGATCACGTGATCATGGGAATGCTGCAACAGTCGTAAGTGTGAAAAATCACTGTTTTCGGTGCCATAGTAACTTTGAACAATCACTAAATGAACTGTTGTAAGTCAAGGACTACCTGTAGAGCTGGACGTGCGAGCATGCTCATCTTTGCAGCGTGGTTCTGAGCAGATCACGGCCCAGTAGTGGGCCGCAGCCCAGGGGTTGGGGACCCCTGTTTTAGATTGCATTTGGCATTTTTTGTCCCTCTATCAAGTCCTTCTCAAGGACTTGAGCTCTGTACTTGTTCCCAAAAAGAAAGGAACAAGGAAAAATAATTTTTTGAGGGTGGAAAGAAAGAACAACTCTTTTCTAAGTCTAAATAGGACAAATGATGGAAAGCAGCATTGTATTTTTTTGTTCTTCCCACAACCAATCTTTTCTTTCCTGGACACCAAAAAGAAGGAAGCTAAACATACCAGCTCCAAAATATTAGCACTTACGTGTAGTCCTCGACTTATGACAATTCAGTCCCAAATTTCTGTCGCTAAGCAAGACAGTTCTTAAGTGAGTTTTGCTCCATTTTACAACCTTTCTTGCCACGGTTAGTGAATCACTGCAGTTAGTCATGTGATTAAATTTTGGGTGGGTGAGCTTTATGACTTGTTACGGTGTTCCACAGTCATGTGACCACAATTCATATTTCTGGCAAACAAACAAAAACCTCATTCAAATGAATGGATTCACTGCAGTATCTGCTTAAAGCCCACTGTATTTGCTTAGCGATTGTAGCATTTGCTTAGTGACCATCACAGAAAAGATCAGAAGATTACTTTCATTTACGTGACAGCCTCAACTTAGAATCACAACTTATGACCATAATTATGGTCTCAATTATGGTGGTAAGTTGAATCACGTGCCTAGTAGTTCTGCTATAAATATTTCAAAACCTCCTCCCAGAGGGGAGCAACAGAAACAGACCATGAACTGGTTATGTGAGGTCTCTAACAATGCTTGGAGCTCTAAGCACATAGTGCTTATAAGCAGTATCCTGAATAATGGGAAGCGAACTTCCTATAATCTTCTCGGCTGTCCTTACTACTCTCTGTATGGACCTTCTCTCTGAGGCACCACCAAACCAAACAGTGATGCAGTTTGTTAAAATGCTCTCAATCATGCCTCTGTAAAAAGTGGCCAGGACAGAAGGAGAAAGATGCTTCCAAAGATGCTTTTTTACAAGGCAACTGGACTTTTTTTGTTTAATAATAATAATAATAATAATAATAATAATAATAATAATAATAATAATAATAATAATAATAATAATAATAATAATAATAATAATAATAATAATAATAATAATAATAATAATAAAGTTGGAAAGGACCTTGAAGGTCATCTAGTCCAACCCCCTTTCTTGAAGACATTTTGCTTTTCCTCCAAGAAGCTTCTTCAGTTCTGAAACTATGTACTCCAATCACCGGCCATCCACATACCAATCAACCAATAGGAAGGCACCACATAAATCCGGCGCATAGAATAGTCTAAAGCACACATTCTGGTAGAGAGATATTCCCTCAGGAGGGGCTCCAGCATGAGTCCAAAAGCTCAGAAGACTAAACCTTTGGTCCCGGTGATCGACCCAGATTGGATCTTGTAACATTAACAACTGTCTTGCTTAGCAATAGAAATCCGGGACTCAATTGTGGTCGTAAATCAAAGACTATCTGTACTTAGTTTCATGAGATATTTGACTCCTCAACTGACGAATATGTCAAACCAGGACTCCTTGATTACTACATGTGGAATCCTATTATTATTCTGTGCCTGGTTGTTAATGCAGCCTTCTTTTGCTGTTCTTAGAATGGAGAAACCTCTTTCAGAGTTTCCTGCTTGCTGATGCTGCTTTTCCGTAGGTCTGGTGAGTAACCAAAAGCAAAACTGATACTTACAGGACTCCTGGAAATTCTGTTGAAGGTTTGGCCAGGATATCCATATGTTTCTTAAATAGAGAAGAAAGAGAACAGGAATTAACCATCTGTCTGTCTGCAATATCCATATAATTTTACTGTAACTGCATAAAATATTATTTTATTCCTACTAGCAAAACTGCATACACTGCAAGGAAGCTTATTCCTAAATAAATACATATGCTGAATAAAAGGAATCAATGTTATTTCAGAAACTGAATTACAAGTCTAAGTACCTTAATTTCAATTGCCTGTTTGCCCCAATAATTTATTGAACAAAGCTTTCTGTATTTTCTTATAATTAACTACGTATCACCCTGCCTAGGAGTGTCTATGAAGATTCTCAGTCATCCAGGTCATGGTTGTCCCAAAGGTGCTTTTTCAAAAGGCAACTGGACTTTGTTTTTCCTTGAAGATATTTCACTTCTCATCCAAGAAGCTTCCTCAGTTCTGGAGAACTGAAGAAACCAAAGAAAGTTCTTGGATGAGAACTGAAGAAGCTTCTTGGATGAGAAGCGAAATGTCTTCAAGGAAAACAAAGTCCAGCTGCCTTTTGAAAAAGCACCTTTGGGACATCCTGTGCTCTTAACATCTTTTTCGTTTTATTTGCAAGGGACAACTAGTTCAAATAAGACAAACATAGATCATTTTCTTACCATAGATTTTACCACTTTCCATCCTTCTGTATCATGGAGATAGAAAAAAACTTTTGCAGAGACGTCTTCAGCATTTTTCATGTAATCCATCTAACTGGGAAGATATCAAAGCAATGCGTATATCAATGGCATGGGATATCCCAACAGCAAGAGAAAAATAAGAGATTTTCTCTCCTGTGTTCCTTCAAAGGACTTCTGTTCAAAGTATTTAAGCAAAAGTGTACAATAGCGCACGCGCGCGCACATACGTGCGCACACACACACATTGAACCAGGGTAGGCTTCTCCAACTTGATGCCCTCGAGAGTCTAGAGGGAACTGGGGCAGCAGTTCCCAGAATTCTCCAATCAAGATGATCAGTATGGGAATTCTGGCAGTTGTAGACTCATCACAGATGAAGTATGCCAGTTTGGGGACTATTGTGAACTCATCCAAAAATTACTTCCTAATATTTCTATCACATTTCCACATGATTGTATCCTACTTTCAGGAAATGCTTGTAATCTAGACTACTTCAAATCTCTGTTGGTTTTGAAATCTGTGAATATCTCAGTGAGTCAAGCTGTAACAATCCCTCAAAGGATTAGTTCCCTCCTGAGTCCTATATTATATTGCAGTGATGGCGAACCTTTTAGAGACTGAGTGCCCAACCTGCAACCCCAAACCCACTTATTTATCGCTAGGTGCCATGTGGGCGTGGTACACTGGGTGGGCGTGGCTGTGGGGTCACTGGTGGGTGGGATGGTGGACAGGAGGCTGGTCCTGCGGGGTGAGGGGAGATGAGGCAGGGTGGGGATGCCATTGCTACGGGGCAAGGCGAGGCAGGGGCCAGGGTGGCTGCTGCCTGACACCATCGGCCCCCGCACACAGAGGCCAGTGAGCGCATGGGGGCTGACGGTGTCCATCAGCAGCCACAGCCTGCCAGCCCCTTGACTGGCACACTCTGAGGCTTCGCAGCCCACTGCCAGCAATTCAGAGAAGCCGCCTCTAAGCTTGACGGACGGCCGACAGTTGAGGTTGTGATGCAGTGGGTTGTGCCTGGAAAAAGGAGAGCACGCGAGGCCAGGAGGGACAGGACAGGACTGGGGGGGAGGGAAACCAGCCATGCTGGGATGCATCTGGCCACGTGGGACCTCGGCGAGTTAGCGGGCGGCTGCTTGAAGAGAGACGGTTGCCATCTCTGGGGCATGGCATGCGTGCCCACAGAGAGGGCTCTGAGTGCCGCCTCTGGCACACGTGCCATAGGTTCGCCACCGCTGTTATATTGTTTTCTTGACTGCAGCATGAAGTGGTTTGCTGTTGACTTCTCCCAGAAAGTTCCTTTGAACCTCCAGTCCAGGCTCCTGGGATTTTCTTAAATCCCAGCTCAGTTTTTTTAAAGCAGCACATACTAATACTTGAGTAGGGTCAGAATAGATGGGAGACCACCAGGAAGCCCTAAGACTGTGCCATTAAACTCTAAGGATACCTGAGATCAGGGAAAGGGTTTTTCCAGGACAAACGGCCATCAAATGTTTGTTTGTTTGTTTTTTCAGGGCAAACTGCCATCAAACCGTGCTGGCACTTTTATTTCTTTGAAAGAAGTGCAAACTGTCTTGTGCGAATTTCTTGACGCTGTTGCCTTCCAGATATGCCGGGCAGCTGTGATCCTCCCGGTCTCTCGAGATCCCCGCTTGGACGAAAGGGACCGAAGGCAACCCGCTCCTGGCATTAAAGTCCCATACCCGGACGTAACTACCATGCCCATGGCACCCGCCCTCACCTCCGAGCATCTTTCGCCGTCTCCGCCTCCCCGGCTGCCAGCTGTAACTGCGAAATCGCAGCAGGAGAGGGCGGTGTGGCTGGCCGGCAATTGTGATGCCTTCGGCCCCGATGCCTCCTGGGAATTGTGGTTCCAGGCTCTTCGCTGCCTCGCCTGAGCCAATGAACGCGCGGCAGGGACGGAGCATGCGTCTTCGAGTCCAGCCGGCGCCATCGGCATAGGTGGGAGGTGATGCGTTTTCAAAACCGGCGGGCGGGAGACGGAGGAAATTCCGCCGGGGGTGCAGGTGAGGTCAAGGGGGGAGGGTGGTTGTATTTTTATTTTTTTTTACGCGGCCGGAGGATCCCCTGACAGAATTAGGCCGACCTCTGAAACTGCTAAAAACCCCTCTCAGATCTAAAAACAGCAAAGCTTGTGAGACTAAAAAAAAACCCTCTGTATATGTTCTGAGATATATCTTCATGTGGCTTCTGGATCTAGTAGCCCAGGCACCCCTGCATAGGGTTAGGGTTTTAGGTTATTTTCTCGTAAAGGGAACTAAACTGATGGTTTAAGCATGGAGTTAATCTTAGGAGCATGTAAGAAACATATAATTGACTATGAACAGTTGGGTAAGTCTATTATCTCAAGAGTTCTTGTTCAGGATTTGATTCAGCAGTTGAATTTGATGGATGTACAGACCTGCATAATATTGGACTGTTGCAAGATTTTCCAGTTTTGGATGTAAAAAAGACGTTGAGACTCTAGAAAGAGTACAGAGAAGAGCAACAAACATGATCAGGGGACTGGAGGTTAAAACATAAGGAACGGTTGCTGGAATTGGGTATGTCTAGTTTAACGAAGAGAAGGATGAGGGGGGACATGATAGCAATGTTCCAATATCTCAGGGGCTGCCACAAAGAAGAGGGAGTCAAGCTATTTTTCCAAAGCGCCTAAAGGCAGGACAAGGAGCAATGGGTGGAAACTAATCAAGGAGAGAAGCCACCTAGAACTAAGGAGAAACTTCCTGACAGTTAGAACAATTAATTCAGTGGAACAACCTGCCTCCAGAAGCGGTGAATGCTCCAACACTGGAAGTTTTTAAGAAGAGACTGGACAGCCATTTGTCTGAAATGGTATAGGGTTTCCTGCCTGAGCAGGGGGTTGGACTAGATGACCTCCATGGTCCCTTCCAACTTTTTATTATTATTATTATTATTATTATTATTATTATTATTATTATTATTATTATTATTATTATTATTATTATTACTTACAATTGCAAAAGGCAGCTTTGCTTGGAACAGCTGACATCCTGCCACTATATCTCTAACACCATCAAATATCAACATCTGGGAAGGACTTGATAGGTGGAAGAAAATGCCAAATTCAGTCCGAACATGTGGCTGATTGTATGATGAACCATAAGAATAGAACAGAACAGAATAGAACAGAATAATTTTATTGTCACTTTAAATGTACACTAATCGGCATACGTTAAAATGAAATTTTGTTACATATAGCTCTCAAAGGATCACCACCTGCAATATACACTACATAAATATGACCAAAAAGAAAAAGAAAAAAATTACATATACCCACATATATTCTATGACACGGAAACAACACAGTCTATTTCGAATGTATACATGTACATGCAAGAAAAATGAATCTTGGGAGTTTACCAGACGGATGGCATAAGGAACAAAGTTGTTACAGAATCTGGTAGTCCATAATATTTTTATTTTAATAAGCGCCATGGATGCATTCCGAAAACAACTGGAGCACCACTTGAACACTATTGGCATTAAAAACGGTACCTTTAACATTATCAAACAACAGCATCTGCCTATCGAAGGTCCCTGCAAAGGACTTGATTGCTGGATAAAAATACCAGATCCAGTCTAAACATTTGGCTAATTATGCAACCAACCATAATGATATTTTTAATTATCAGTTTAATTAAATTTATTTTAAATAATAATTTGGATTATTATTAATGGAGTTAATTGAAATAATTTAAAATAGGACCAAAAAAGCAAAGATGGTACCAACAATAATAGATGCCTTGGGTGCAATCTCAAAATATTTGCAGCACCTTTTGAACATCATCTGCATTCACAAAATCCCCATCAGTCAATTGCAAGAGGCAGCTTTACTTGGAACAACTTACATCCTGTGATAATATCTTTAACACCATCAAACAACAAACAACTATCTCAGGTCTTGGGGAAGAATTCAGGTGGATAAAAATGTCAAAGCCAATCTATCTGGCTGATTGTTCAGTGAACAATAATAATAACAGATTACTGGTTTGAGGTGTTAATTATAGCTCCTTTATGAAATAAATTACAATTGACTGGGTTCACACAATATAGTAAGCCATATATTATATTTTGCAAGCCATATTGCCTGGATAAATACAAAATGCTAAAGTACATACTTAGAACAGCCAACAGTGAATTGCTGCAAATTGTTCTTCCTCTGCTTCATTCATTATATATTCCTCTTCTTGTAAAATGTTGAGTATAAAATCAGCATAGCATCTTCTTGATTTTTTTTAAAGAAATCTGTAATCTATCATATTCAGCCGCCCTGTAATCTATCATATTCAGCCGCCCTGTAATCTGTAATCTATCATACTCAGCCGCCCTGAGTCCGCAAGGAGAAGGGCGGGATATAAATCTAATTTAATAATAATTTAATAATAATAATAATAGTTCTCACAAGCCAGTGAGCACCATGGGACAAAACAGGTGTATCTAACTATAGTTTAATTTCTAACTCAGGATTGTGATTTAATTTGACAAGAAAATACTTTTTGCTGTCCAATTTAGCAAAAATATTATTCTGGTTTTCTGTCATTAACTGTACAGGATATCTAAGCACTATAAAACTACTACAGTCAATATAAACTATAAATGAAATAATTTAAACAAAATACCTTCTCTTTGGGGGGAGTGTTAAATGTGAAAATCATGGCAGATTTGAAAATATATTACTGTGTCTCAGAGTGACTCTCAAAATCTCTATTTTCTTGCTTAATGACAGTTCTTGAAAGCTTCAGGAGAAGTTGCAGAAGGCCCCTGAATGAAAAGTAATGTCCTGCTTGGTTAAGAAAAGTAATATCTGTTCTCCAGAAACAACTGTGTCGTCTCTTCTAGCAAGTGGTAACTTTCAGAGTGACCATGTCTCCTTGAGTCACAGTTCAGTCCAATACAACGACAAACTGTATAGTTCTGCCTCTCAAGCTTTAGAGGCCTATATTAAAGATTTCAATCTCAGTCGTTCATCGCCTGATGTCAGACCTGGAAAAATTGAAATTCTTCCAAGGGCTCCTGAAATCTGCAAGTCCTCAAAAGATGATTTTGAGCCCAAATGTGGTACGTGTGTGTTTTTACCTTTTCAGTAAAGTATGTGGGGAGGAATCTTTACCTGTACTAGAGGTCACTTTGAAAATAGCATCCAAATGTCAAGCTAACATATATTTCTTATTTATTCATTTATTTATTACATTTATTTATTAAATTTTTATGTTATCCATCTCCCTATATCCAACTCACACAATTTCTTATGTTCCTTAAACAGTTTTGGTGTTATTTGTATTCCCCTTGTTATGTATATTTGTGGCTCTTTTAATATGAGTTGGTGATACAGTTCATAGAGAATATAAGTGAAAGCTAAGCCATGTAGTTGATGACTTCCTCTTCTTCCTCCTCCTCCTCCTCCTCTTCATCTTCTTTATCGGCTTGATTTTGTAAAAGTATCTAAATTTATTTGGATTCTTTATTTTGTAGTGCATTTGTGTTTTTTAATATGGGTTGGTGATACGTTCTATGGAAATTATGACTAAAAGCTAACCTATGTAGCTGATATAATTATTATTATTATTATTATTATTATTATTATTACTTTAATTTATATCCCGCCCTTCTCCCGAAGGACTCAGGGCGGCTTACAGGCAATAAAAATGGAACTATACAATAAATATCTAAAAACAATTAAAATATATATTAAATAAGCCTGTTATTTTTAGAAAAGTTATAAAATCCCTATTAAAATCCCTATACAATCCC